GCCAGGTCTCCTCCCCTTAACTTTAACCCATTCTCCGATCTTCCCCAGTCCCCTATCCTCTCATCCAACACCTTAAACGGACTCTCCCCACTCTCCCCCGGCCCTAACCCTCCACCTCTGCATCCCCAATACCCCATCTAACTCAAACACCGGCGGTAACTTCAAATAAACCCACCCATCATCTCTTTCCTCTGCTTCAAAAATAGCTATACTAACCTCCTCATCATTTCTACATCTCCCCTTATCCTTTCCATTTAAGTTGAAGTTTCTCTTGTGGTTTGGACAGGAGATCCAGAGGGATTCTTCTTTTTTTGCTTCTTCGGATGTTGAAGAAGAGGATGAAGAAGTAGAGCTAGAATCACCAATCAACCCATCACTCAAAACAAACGCTCTCTTATGAGGACACATCTGCTGACTAGCCAACCACCTACCCCTCACTCTCCAAACAGCCAACTGCGTATCGCCCCTCTTCACACTCGCCGAAATCCCACTAGGAAGATCATCCGCACCCGCAAAATGATCCTTCTTAACCACCCTCTCCCAACTCAAAGACGTCCACTTAACATTTTTAAAATCCGTCTTCGCGCTCTCCTTAGCCCAATAAACCGGTCTCATCTGTCCCCTATCAACCTCCATCTCCATATTCTCTACCTCCTCATCACAATTATCAAACTGTTTAAACTTCCTCGCGATTTCCGGGTCATGAATAGCAGCCGCCCATTCATCGAAGAATGATCCGACTAATTCTTCCATTTGTGCTTCGAGACTTGCGCAGATTCCTAATTTATCTTCGAGTATTACTTCGCGGAGATACTTGATGCCGCCGGGGAGAGCCTCGAGCCATCGAGCGGTTCGTTGCAGTTTATCGGCCGTGCGGATGTAGAATATGAGGTAGCGATCTAGGATAGGGATTACGTTGTCGGGAGGAACATCTTTAGCTAGGAGTTCGCTGTGACGAGGGGTGGCGCCGCCGTTGCCGCCAACGAAGATATTAAACCCTTTTTCTGTGGCGATGAGACCGAAACTAATGATTATATGATTAGCATTTCCATATTTAACCTTCTACACTAAAAGAAAGAAAGGAGGAATTCAAACATACTCTTTATTCTGCGCTTCCGCACATTCCCTCACACAACCACTCACACCACCCTTAATTTTATGCGGACTCCTAATACTCTTATAGCGCTCCTCCAATCTCACAGCCATACCCACCGAATCCCCAATCCCATACCGACACCAAGTAGTTCCCACACAACTTTTAACTGTCCGCAAACTCTTCGCATACGCATGACCAGATTCCATACCTCCTTCAACAAGCTCCTTCCAGATAGCCAAGAGATCTTGTTTCTTAGCTCCGAACATATCGATTCTCTGACCACCAGTAATTTTCGTGTAAAGATTATATTTCTTCGCAACATTACCTATAAGTATTAATTTCTCCGGAGTGATTTCTCCAGCAGAAACTCTCGGCACCACAGAAAAAGTACCATTTCGTTGAATATTCGCCAAAAATCGATCATTGGTTTCTTGAAGACCATGCAAAGGACGCGAAATTATATGTTTGTTGTATAAAGAGCTGAAAATCGATCCGATAGAAGGTTTACAAGCCTCGCATCCTTGACTATCTGGATCATTTCCAGCTTCCTTCATGACTTCCGCAAGAGTTTTCAAGCCCTTTACGGAAATGATATTGTAGAGATCGGCTCGTGAATAGTTGAAATGAGGACAAATATGATTTTTGACTTCCTGTCCCATGGATTTCATAGTGTTGTTGAAGATGCTCGTAACCAAAGGCATGCAACCTCCACATCCGGTTCCAGCTTTCGTGCAGGATTTGACGTCTCCGATACTTTTGCATTTTCCTTCCTTTACCGCATGGACGACATCACCCTTGGAGACGTTATGACACGAACATATTTGCGTGTCGTCGTCCAAATCATCTCCACCATCATCACCTTCCTTACTGGCTCCAAGAATAAATTGGCTAGGTGGTACATCTAGCATTTTTTGATTCTTCACCATAGGTACCAACTTGATATAGTCTTTCGTATCGCCAATCATCATACCACCTAATAAGTACTTTCCATCCATGGTGAACAAATACTTCTTGTAGATGGCTTGGAAAGGATCCTTATAAGTGAGTGCCTTGACTTGCGATGACCTAGATCCATTCGTCAACTCTCTCGAAGCATCAGATGAATCTTTATCCTTCCTCGCTGCCCTGACAGGCAAATTTTTAGGCCCATCTCTATCCGCGAAGAAATCCCCAAAACTAGCAACTTCTACTCCCAATAACTTCAACTTAGTACTGAGATCAGGTCGCTTAAACTTTCGATATGCATGTATCTTCGCCTGTGTCAAGTTGAAAGACAATACATCTGCCATCTCGATTCCAGGAGCAATCAAACCAAATGTTTGATTTTCCCAGCTAGCACATTCGCCAATCGCATAGATGTCTTTGACACTTGTACTTAAATCATCCCCAACAACAATTCCTCCACCACGATCAGCACATTTGATACCTGCCTGACGAGCAAGTTCATCTCGAGCCTTGATACCAATCGCAAAACAAATAGTCGAACATTCCAACTCTTCCCCATCTTCAAACACCACACCTTTCACCTCATTCTCATCCGTCACTTCAATCTTCCCAACTCGTTTAGATAACATAACATCCAAACCAAGACCTCTCACCTGCTCAACCACCAAGCCCCCAGCATCAGCATCAAGCTGCCGACTTAACACCCATTTATTCCTCTCAATAAGATGTACTTTCCTATAATTCTCCAGATCCATCATAGCCTTTGCAGCTTCGAGACCTAGGAGTCC